CACTCGGAGGGAATGTTTTCCAGCAGCAGAGTCCCCCGGGATGTGTGCGTGGAGCCGCGACACGTGGCGCTGATTGTCCATGCCCATCCTGCTGCCCGGCCCCACAATGGCACTTGAGTCCCTTCCTGTTCTGCACACATCCATCCCACTCCAAAGCAATCCAGCTGGGATGCTGAGCACCCTCCCCTAAAGAAAACACCCCATGGAACGGGACTTTTGATTATTTGAGTTGGCAGGGAAGGCATAACAGGCAGCAGTGGCCAGAAGTCAGAGCTGCTGTGCTTGGAAATAATGTGTGGATGTGTTTAGAGAAGCCAAGGCAGTTTATTCTGCAGCAAAATGCCAGAAAGGGCTCTCCATCCCTTCCCAGCAAGGCTGGGCACTTCTCTGCAGCAAAGCTCAAACATGCAGAGCAGGGTGAGCATCTCTGGGGAACTCCAGGACCAGAGCACTGGGGGAAAAGTGTTTATTTACAACAAACCCAAGGCATAGGTTTGCAAACTTCTAAAGTTCTCCAGTGTGTCCCTCAGCAGCAGGCTGAGCTGTGGTGGAAGAAAGCATTGAGTATGATCCTCTACCTCCTGCCCCAGCACCAGGGATGTGCCAGGGATGCTGGAGCTGTCCCATGGCAGCACAGGGCAACGTCACCTCCCTTGCCCTCAGTGCCCTCCCATCCCTAGAGGCTCTGTTCAGGCTTTCAGATTTCTCCTCATCTGTGCCAAAAGTGGTGGAATAAACAGCCAGATCATCACCTTTATTCCCCTCTTCCTTTGGCAAAGACTAAGTGCAGACAACAGCCCTGTCTTCAGCAATTCTTGATGCTTTCATGTGCTATGTAGACGAAAAAGCACCTGTGATCATTTCAGTTATCACAAGCAGCTACTTCTCCCCACAGGAAAACAAGACAATGGCTCCTGCAAAGGAACTTTGGAGAAGGAGGAGCTGTTTGAGTCTGGCAGTGGCTGAAGGGTATTGGCCCCCCATGATGATCTCAGCACAGTTCTTTTTGTGTTGAATGTGTAGAGTATCTGAAGGCATTTGCAAATCAATGTCCAGAATCACAGAACCGTTTAGGCTGGAAAAGCCCTCTAAGATCCTCAAGTCCAACCATTCCCCCAGCACTGCCCATTCCACCATGTCCCCAGAGTGACACATCTACACAGTTGTTAAAAGCAGAAATGGTGTTGAGAGCTGTTTAAGAGGAAGCCCAGAGACAAAGAAAAAACTTGGTAAACTCTTGGGATCGATGGAAACAGCCCAAGTCACCACACATTCTCCATGGAGCCAACTGTGTCCCTGGGGAGCAGGAGTGCCCTGCACCATCCCAGGTGATGGGTTCTTCCTCAGAAGTACATCTACCTCTTTAATAAGGGTAAATGTGTGCCTAAAACATTCTTTTTCTCCATTATATTGGTTGATTTAGTGTCTGTCCATAACCGTGTCTGTTATTAGCCTGATGCTCATTTTAACCTGCTCTTCAAAACCCCTAGAAAAGGCTATCCCATCAATTATCCAACACAGTTCACTCCTAGAAACTCTCTACCCTTATGTGAAGGCAGTTTCCTATTGCCCAGCCTTCCTTTTCTTTACTTCCCTTTCTGGTCCCATTCCCAATGGATTTAGAAAACCAACCAGTCCCTTCCCCTCTGTGAAATCAAAGATCTGATTATGTCTCCCCTTTCCTGGACTGACAAGGACAGTTTTGCCAGACTGCTGCCCAGTAAGCTGGAAGACAAAAACATGGAAAAGATCTGAAAAGTCAAGTCTGATTTTCACAGCCAAACCCCATCTGGAAAGCAAACACATTTTATTATGTAGTCACCATGGTTTACACACTGTTTTCCTTCCTGTTTGGCTGAGATCACTGTCATAAAGCCTCAGACACAAAAACAATTACGGCTCCAGAGTAGCTACATGAGGAAAATGGGATCAGTCAGGAGCTCACTGCACCCAGAGGGTCCTGAGGGGTGAGCTCGAAGCTCCTGGTAAGCCCACCCTGGCTGTGAGGGTCTCACTCCAGACACACAGCACTGCCAGGACACTCAGACAGGCTCTGCCAGACACCAAGAGCATAAGGACCCACCACAAAATTCATCTCCATCACCTCTACAACTCCCAGTATCAAGTCATGGCATCCCAGAATGGTTTGGGTTGGAAGAGACCTCAAAGCCCATCCAGTCCCACCCCCTGCCATGGGCAGGGACACCTTCCACCAGCCCAGGCTGCTCCAAGCCCTGTCCAACCTGGCCTTGGACACTTCCAGGGATCCAGGGGCAGCCACAGCTTCTCTGGGCAACCTGTGCCAGGGCCTGCCCACCCTCACAGGGTGGAATTTCTTCCCAATATCCCATCTAAACCTACTCTCTTTCAGTTTGAAGCCATTAGGGGGTGTTGCAGACAGTGGCTTCTCCAGTCCCAGCTGGAGAAAGGTGGGGACAGGTCAGAGCAAGAGCACATTAGGAGTTCCTGGTCCCCTCTTTGGTGAGAAATTGGGCCTGGAGGTGCTCTCTGTCCCAGGTGGCTCATGAGTGATGTGCAGCAGCAGGGGAGATGCATCTCACCCCCAGGGAGGACAGGTCCTGGCTGAGAACAGGCACAAGAGCACTGTCCTGCCACGGCTGGTGCTGCCTTGATCCCCATGCCCCCCCAAAGGGCTCTGCTCCTCACCACCTCCTGTGGCATCATGAGGGGACAGTGTGCTGGAAGGATTCAGCCCTCCCTGCTGGCCCTTTCTGTCCAAACCCTTTAGCTCTCCTGCTGAGATGGATCACTGATGGCATCAGACTCAGCTGCTTTCTGTACCTGTATTGTCATTTCTTTCAATTATCTTAACCACAGAGAGCACCAGGGTCACCAGCAATAACCATTTTAAAATCCCAATTAGCTTGTGCATTTCAACAGCAGACTCAAAAGTCACCTTCCCAAAGTTAAACCACAGAATCACAGAATATTCTGAGTTGGGAGGGACCCAGGAGGATCAGCTGGGTTTGATTTGAGCATTTAAAATGCATTTACATTACCTCTGTCCCCAAGTGTGAGAACTGGACATATCTTTTTCCCATTTTCAAGAGCAGCATTTGTAAATAGCATCTCATCTCACCACTGAGGGTTGGAGTAGTTGACCTTTAAAGGTTCCTTCCAACCCAAACTGTTGTGTTCTCTGTTTCTGTGATCACAGGAGCTGGGGCCTAAAGAAAACCACCAGGGATGCTGAGAGCAGGCAACACGGGGCACTGGGACAGGGATGCTTTGTCGTGAACCCAAAAGAAAACCAACCAAACAAAAAACCCCAAACACAACCACCTTTCAGTGGAGAAACTGGGGACTCAGAGCAACACCTACAACCTTGCATGGACCTGCAGGGTTACCCACTCCTCCGGGGAAGGCAGCACCAATCAGTCCCCAGGTTACAGCCCCCTCCAGACACAGACAAGGCTTCATCCACATCTGAGGGTACAAATACAGGGACAGAAGGATCAGAGGTAGGAGACGAGAAGGTGAATGTCCCCAATGGCTCCTGGAAGCCTTTACAAACCTCGTCCATCCGTGCCTTAAGGTCTAAAGGGAATAAAGCTTTAAACATGTGTTGTAACTCTCCAAACAGCTCCAGAGTACAAGTCATGTCCCCTTCTCTGCCAAGACTGAGCTGGAGGCAAACCAGGCAGCATTTCTGTGACCTTCTGTGAACCCATGGATTTCTATGGCCTCCCATTTTTCCCCTGAAACAGAGGGAGATGGCTCCCCAAAGGGTTCAGCTCCAGCTGGGGAAGAGAACCCTTATCCTGGCTGCATAAACTCCAGTCCTAATTTACTCAGAACCTGCACTCAGTGTTTCCTGCTTCTTCTTCGTAAATGTTTTTGGCAGAACCACCTGTTCCAAAGTCATTCCCACAGAAGATGAGGAAAACCCAAACCACACAAGGAACAAGAACACCAGTGCAGTAGTAACAGTCCCAGGTTAGCACCACTAACACTCTTCACTCTTTCATTTCAGGTTCCAGAGCCTCCACAAACTCCTCCATCGCTGCTGTAACAGGTACCTGCCAGCTTGGGATGTGTTTTATGTGTCTGTTTGGATGTGGATGCACATGGAAATGTGGGCATGCAAATGGGAGCCCACAAATGGGGACTTGATTCCAAACTCCCACCTGCTGAGGCACCTTCTCCTGGGATCCTGAGCTGCACACATCCATTCACCTCCGATCTGCAGGGACATGG